ATGTTGGGTACTGTCCCAAGGGATTTTAAATTTCAATGATAGCTCTGAAAAGCAAAAAGGGAATCCTAGATCATTACTAACGATTTCCACTTCAGGAATTCCATTTTAGTTATCTTTGCAAGTTGTTCTTAATAAAACCCTTAAATCCACTACACCCCCAGCAATTTTCTCAATCTCAGAATGACGGTTTCTTTAAGGAATACTAAGATACTCGTTTATTGAAGAGGATGACATGAATCATAATTCCTCACTAAAGCAAGTATTGTCTATATGATTTATATTAAATATCTTGAAGGTTTATGATATCATAAATTCACTTATTAACTGACTTTTTTCTCTTCGGAATGGTAAGATCACTCCATTTATTCTGTTGCTTACTACTTGATTTGTAAATAGCTGACCAAATGAAATAGAAATAAATCCAACAGTGGGATTTCATAATCTTAATGAGCAAAGTATCAGCTACTATGTCTATTACTTGAAATAGATATATCACAGAATGTGTCATGTGTTGTTGGCACCAGAAGCCCTACCAATTTTCTCTCTTAGGGATCTACCAAGTATAAGAAATTTACAAGCTAGTAGGTAATCAATTTCAATTGCAGAAATATTAACTACTAGTGATATACATTTCAAGTTGGTTTATTTCTTTAATGTTAGGGAGCTTAGTTACTACTGATTTCTTCTAAAGAAGTATACAGAATGATGGAGAAAAAACATATCAGGAAAATTATGTGAAAGGATGTTCTTGACTCATAAAAAGTCATGATTCTGTGGTATAAAAATTTCTCTCCAATCATCTATACATGTTACACTTACTGTTAATTCTGTAAAACTGAAGCTCTCAAAAATTTGGCTGAGAAATTTAATGAAAGTTTCACTGTTTGATGGAATTGTTTTCCTAGTGCCACAATAACTTTCCCTGATGGTGTACATGGGTACTATATCAGTAGAACCATTTGGGTGGGAACTTTAAAAAAAAAAAGCCTGTTTCATTTTATAGAGTACAAATAACCTTGTAATTAAACTGAAAACAAATAATTGCCAAGAAGCAATTATCATTCAATTAAAGAGTAATTACATGGTTATTTGTGCCCTGTAAAATAAAGCATTACTGAGATCAGTAATGTAATCAATATTTTAGCAGAAACAGGATGCTGCAATGATGGACCTCTCAACCTATGCTGATTAAATTGTCATCCAAATAACGGTTTCTTAGATAAATCACCACATGTTTATTTGTCTTGATTAATATGTAAATATCTGCCTGATGCTAATAAAGCTCCTAAAGATAAGGAGTATGGCAGGATCATCTATCAAGAATGATCTTTCCCAACTTTCTACAGAGTTGAGAAAAAAAGATTTTCATCATATTGTCAGGCAGTGTTCTTTGAAGGGAATTGCAGGAGCTTTTTTAGTGCTAAAGCCTTGCTACAGAGGATCATTAGATATGAAAATAAATAAAAAGCTATCTTGTATTTGTATGGCACTTTTATGAGTATAATGTGCTTTCAAAAAACAAACTTAATTCTAATTAATTTGTTTTCAAATTTCAACTCTTTATGCCAAAAATAAATCATAGGCACCCGAATGTGATTCTTGTTCATTGATAAATTTAAACAGGTTCAGAAGTAGGTATCACACAATCATACTCACTAACCAATCGATAATTTGAAATAACAAGACAAATATATATGTCTGTCGTTAGATCACAAGCTCCTGGAAGGCAGAACCTGTTCTAGGGTCACACAATATATCAGTGAAAAAAAAGTTCAAACAACATTGCCATTGTTCAGTTTACATTTTAACCTCTGGTTCCCTGATAGCTAGCAATATGCAAGACACACCCTCAGACAGCACTAGGTATAGGATTATTTGATGACTGAATTAGAGATTTATATGTCACTTTAGGAGAATGCAGTCCTTAGGTAGATCGTGAAGCTGGTAGTGTTGTATGCTGGAATCTAGGATAAAATTGATTAGGTTTGTGAGCTGGAAGTCCACGCCTTCACCACCCCACTGTGTGACCTCATGCCGCTACCTGACCACACCTGAGTGCCCACTGGCCAATCAGACTAATTAACCACTCCCCTTTGAAAGTGGATTAAAAGCCTGGGACACAGTGTTCCCAGCCCTTTTTTCCTCTTTGGCTTCTTGCCATTTTGGGCACGCATGGCCCTGCACCTCCAGGGTGCATGGCCTTCAGGCCACCCGCCCCATGCTTCCTGGCCTAAATGCTCCTCCATGTGGCTGGCTCCTGGTACTCAGTATGAATCCAGGTTTCCCTCTCTGTGGACAGGGCCCTCACTCTCCTATACATTTCTCTCACTGAATGAAAAGCTTAAAAACATCATGCTGACTCATTCATTTATGCTGGTATTCAGAATTCTCTGAATATGAGGCAAGAACCCACACAGGCTTATTAACATTGGGAACTTATTAATAAGCACATGGTAATATCATATGGCACCCCATATTCTGATTTCAGTAGGGCCTCTAAGAGAATACGGCAGTGACCTGTATTCTATCTGTAGTCTTCTTTACCTTTATATGCATACAGAGTCAGATTTGAGTGGATCATGTTTTGCAGCTCGTATAATTGTTCTGGAGTCCAAGATTTACAAAAGAATTACCTGATGTTTAAATCATGCAATCAACTGTTCCTGTTGTCAAGGAGAGTAGAATGATCTAAGGAATATTGAAAATTGTGGAAAGAGTGACAAAGTATTTCTTATCTATATTAAGTCACTGATTTATTTAACCACTTACTGGCTCTTTCTCTGTGTTAGAAACTATGAGAATTGCTTAGGATACAATGTCAAACAAAACTAGGAATTTCGGTTCTTCTTGGGGAAACTCAAAGTTGATCATACTAAAATCATAACATTCTAAACTGAAAAGAATGTTGTGATGGAGAATATGGCCCTCTGCAGTTTATAACTTATGCAACAGATACACTATCAAGCCATTTGTGACACAAGCCATGAATTCTCCAATATAGATCCAGAGTTGGGAATTTGACCAAGTTTTTCAAATCTTGGAATTAAAGGTAAAACCACTGGCTAATAGGTTGCTAATGTTTCCCAAGTGTGAATCTACTTACTGGAGAAGAGTTGCTTCAAAGAGTGAGGACTTACCAAAAATTTGGAACGGAACTAGTTAAACCGTATGGCTCGCAGACTGTGCTGTTAACAGCTGGCAGTCATATGGCTCATCATATGGAAGTGAAGGAAGCATCGGGCTGCTTCCTTCTGGAGGCAGCCTGTGAAAGCGATAGTGAACATGGAGACAGTGCTGAAATGTTCACAGTGCAAAAGTACAAAGAGCCATCAGGTGAATTTAAAAAATGTTGGTAGATTTGAATTATAACAAATGGAAGGATACAAGAAAGTGCTTATAAAGTCTAGATTTGGTAATTATTATTCAACCAAATAATATGCTTTTTTCTAATGAGTGGATATACTCTGGTGAACACTATTATGCAACCTTGGAATTCTTTAGGACATTTGAAGTAAATAGCATACTTCTCCTATTCCTTAAAGGAGTTAGGAAGCCACAAACCAAGGCAAGGGCAAACAGGGTAACAACACTGAATTACATAAAATAAATTGTGGCCCAGCATCAAGTAGAAAGGAGAGGAGAGTCAGTTTAAAAAATTGAAACGTTATGTGAGAAAAACAGAATCTTTTTGTGGTAGATAGATTGATATACAATATTGATGTACAATGGAATAAAATAACACTAGCACAGTGTATGAAAAATGAACGGGGTAATGGTACCTCTGTGTAAGGTTGCTAGAAGTTGTCTTCATTTAAAAGCAGAGTTTGTCTTATATTGATGGAGCACTTTGCTACTACAAAGTTGATAGAGTGAGGTTTAACTTAAATTTCTTTGTGAATCAAAAGTCACTTTTGGAAATGTTCTCTATCTTAAACTCATACATTTTGTGACCTAGGTTATTTAATATATAATTTCACAATATTTTGTCAAAAGCCCTATTATTCAGCTTTGTAAACTGTATGTCTACTAAAAGGCAACAGACACAGCTTAAGCAACATAGGAACGTAGTATTTAAAATATATTTGCATGACTTGAGGATGACCTGAATTTAATGATCTATTACTTCTTAAGTCTCTATGATGGTCGGTCACAGCTTCCAAATGATATTTTCAGTACATCAACTGTGTTAGCATGCAGGAAGAAGACAATAGATACTTAATTTTTATTTTATTATTTTATGTATTAGTATATTCAATTGCAATTTCTGAACTGCTCACAATAAAGTGAAGAATGAGCACATGTAATAGGTTGGGTTAATGTTTTAAATTTAAACTCAAGTCATGAGTTAAAACATCAATCATATGAGATAAAAGACAGTGTAGATTGCAAAGGTGGCAGGTTTTGTTAGTACAGCCACTCCAAGAGCACATGCTGCTGGATATTTAGCCTGGTTTAAAAAATAGGAAGGGAAAAACTACTGAAGGTTGGGTTCCTTTGTTCCATCTGGACTTCCAGCAGCTGTGGAAATGGTAATAAACATCAGGTTTTATTCTACATCTCTCAGCTTTTTACTACTCACCTCTGGCATGCTGAGCAGAGACTTAATCACTGTGCATTCTACACAGTCTTAATTCTGTGAGTCACTATCTCAGATTTCAGTAGCGTATATTAATGCCAGGAGTCATGTGTAGCTTTAAGTGCAGTGGGTAACTTAGGTTTTCTCACAACAGGTGAACTGTATAGCAAAGTGCTAGCCTGTAAATGGAATTTAAACTAGGAATTGATCCCTTATGGCTTTAATAAGCCATAACTATGTTAGGAAATTTAGTGGAAAGGAAAGTACTTGCCATTTAGTAATCCATGAACATACGTGGTTTTAGATGTAAAATTCTATCACTCTTGGCAATTAAATAAGATTTAGAAGGTAAAGGTAGCAAGTGGTGGTATTTCCAGAAAGGAGATCTTTTTAACCTGATCTCTGTTTGTCTATTTTTCACCAGCTCAAGGCCTGGCAGGCCCCCTAAGCGTTCTTTGGGAGTGTTGCAGGACAATGCCCGCCTTCTGCCCCATGCAGTCCCCGGCCTCTTATCACCAGGACTTATCACTCCAACAGGTAATAAAATCCATCCGACAATCAGCCTTGTCTCTTCATACTCCCTCGCATTTGAAATAAACTAATATTGATTTAACTGCCTTGTCCTTCAGAGCTTTTCAAGCTCTACCAGAGGTTACATTATTGAATTGCTTGAGTATTCATGAAAACAAGTGTTTTAGTTCAGTTACTGAAACCAAATGGACATGATTTAAAAATTGTCATATCTTTGCAAGAAATTCCTGTCAAGCTCTTTTTATATGTATATACTGGTATGTGTATGTTTATGTGTTGGGGGCGGGGTGGAGGGCCCTGGCCAAAGTAGCATCATCTCAAAGCCTCTTCTAGATGTAGCACACCTGCTTGTAGCTCAGTAATATGCTTTTCGCTTTCAGGAGTTCTGGGCATCCTTATATATTGTCCAAGTTATTACTCGAGGACAGAAAATAGAAAAAAAGGCATCCTGATAGAGAAGCTTTATAATTAGAAAAAAAGAAGTGCAGGTGATTATTGTCATGAATGATGATTTAATGTTTTGCATTAAGGTTGTGATGAACAGATGAAAATATCGGTCTCATAAATTGTCATTGAACGTTTTTGATTCTTTAAAGGTAACTAAATATAAACATTTAAAAAATATTTGTCTAATTGAAACTTTAAAAATCATTAAAATGAATTAATGACAAGGGAATCTTTATATCTACCTTCAATGATACAAACATTTAAAAGCACCTGCTGTGTTTTGGGTGTTGATTCATAGTTAAGGCAAAAATATATGAATAGTGATCCTGGTCACAGTATAATTATGGAGAAAGGAATGCAATTTAATAATTGCATTAAAATCTGATAGAAACTATAATACAAGTACATATAGGGTGTTATAAAATTGTGCAGGTGGACTCAACTGAATCAGTTTGGTAAGTTGAGTAATACCTAGAAAGATGGAATCTCCAGAGTTATATCTTGCCAGCTGAGTGAGAATTGGACAAATGGAAAATCAAAGAAAGAGTATTCTGAACAGAGAGAAAGAGTGCAGAAGGTTATACAATGATGAGAAAGAGCCTAGTGTGGTGGGAGTATAGTAATTAAGTAGAAGAGACTGGAATAGAGATTTGAGTTTAGAATAAGAATTGTGTTTAGAATAGAAATTCTGTTTAGAATAGAAAGTGAGTAAAAAGCCAGCTTGTGAAGCCAGCATTTGATTGATCATGTTAAGCAGCTTATTTTTCACTATAGACCAGTGGTTTCTAAAGGCTCCTTAAGGACTTTCCTTACTTGGGACATGGAACTGGAGAAGTACTTCTGGGTTACACACCTCTGCCTCGGTTGTATTTTTTAAATGTATTTGCTTATTTGAAAGGTGAAGTGACTGAGAAATGGGGAGGTAGGGTGAGGGAGAAGGAGATGAGCTCTTCCATCTGCTAGTTCATTAGAAGGAAGTTGGAATCAGAAGCACAGCTCATACCTGAACTCAGGTGCTAGAATATGGGATGTGGGTGTCCCAAGTGGTATCTTAACCACTGCAACAAATGTACACACTTTCAGTTGGAATTTTACATTTCAATTCACATAGGATTTTGTTTTTTTGTTTTTTTGTTTTTTAATTTGTAAAGTATTTATTTATTTATTTATTTGAAAGAGTTACACAACAAGAAGAAGACAAACACACGTACACACACACTCACACACACACAGAGAATCTTCCATCCTCTGGTTCACTCCCCAGTTGCCACGATGGGCGGGGCTGGGCCAGGCCAAAGCCAGAAGTCAGGAGCTTCCTGTGGATTTCCCACATGGGTGCAGGGTCCCAAGCACTTGGGTCATCTCCCACTAATTTACCAGGTGTATTAGCAGGGAGCTGGATCGGAAGTGGAGGAACCGCATCTTGAACAGTTGCCCATATGGGATGCCAGCATAACCGGAGGTGGCTTTACCTGCTATGCCACAACCCTGGCCCCAGGAATTTAAGAAAAAATTAAAAAATTATGTAGGTAAAAGAATACAATGATAAGTAACTGAATAAGTATTTTAGAAATAATTGCTGTAGACAGTCGATAGCAAAGAAGGTGATGAAATGAACAAAGGTTAGTTGCTACAATACAAGAATTACTGAGGGCCTAAACAGAGACAAATTTAACAGAGTGGAAAAGAGTTTCAGACTGCTTTAGTAATTAGAATTCCTTACCCTTGATACCTGATAGATATATATCATGAGAGGGCAGAGATTGGGTTGATTTGTCTCCAATTTGAGTGACAGGCTTAACTGATGATAGAATCATTAGTTAAGAGAACTTAGGGAGTGACACAGGCTTTGGAAGAAAATAACGAATTTGGTGACTGTACATATTTAAAAGCCAATTCAGATAAAAAAGAAGATATTCCTGAGCATATAAGTGACTACAGAAGGATAACAGTGCCTGAAATATATATTGGCACTCAATAAATGATAACCTATTTGTTGACTTCTAAAATACCTTGCCAGAACCCAGAAATAGCACCATGTAATTAATAAAATCTGTGTTCTGGTTTTGGGTGAATGTGTAGATGAAATTGTCTTGAAGATAATCTGCTGTTGTAAGCATTAGTAGCTTACCTATTGAGGAAAAGCTCTAATATTTATTAAGTTTTTATGCTTCAGGCATGGGCGATAAATGTTTTATATACACTTCATTCAACCTTCATGGTAGCCTTATGGGTATCGTCTTCATTTTTCAAGTAAACAATCCATGATGCAGTGAGTTTTAATTAATTGCTTAAGGTTACAAAGTGAGTGAGTGGTAGAGCTCAGTTCCAAACCCAGGTCTTTTTAACTCCACAGCCTCTATTCTTACTTGACATATGTGCTTCACCCCCAGCAAGATGATGGAACCTCCTCCTTGGATTGGGGCTTTGGCCTTCCCTGCTACAACTTGGGTTTACCACCGAGTGAGCCATTGAAACAACACTCCTCATTTTTCAGCTCTTTGTGCCTACAGTGGGATGCTAGAGGAAGATATGGGGTTGGATGGGGGAAGGTATGGGCACAACTGTTGAAGATGCAGCAAGTAGAAAAATAGTATCCGGGGAAGCTGGAAGAATCTATACAATTCTAAAGCATCATTCTTAGGTTTATTTAAGAATAATCCTAATTTCTTAGTTTACATGAAATTATTTTGTATACCTGAGAATATCATACTCTCCTATAGTCCAACGGTGTATAGTCAAATAGAAAGAATTTTTGGAATCGTGCATTATTTTGGTTTAGACACATTACTTCATTAGCAAAGATAATTGAGATGGAATCTGCTCTCAATTTTGATGTTGGTGTTTCATATTTGACGTCATATTTACCATGATTCACAAACTTAAATGTCATTAATATTATTTAAAAGCACTTTTGAAGAATTTAGTTGATGTTGTTAATGTGGTCTGTTAAGGGTCTAGAATTATCTGCCCCCATGATTATCAGAGTGTTTTACAAAATTTACTTATTTTAGTTTCCTAATATGTTCAAAATATCTTTTTTAAAGTAAGAAATATTATTCTTCAAGTTTATAGCTTGAAAGTGAGGTTTAAGGTAACAAACAATGATCATAGTGTGTTTTTCAGATATTGTGATATTTTGTACATTAAATTGCATTGAAATTGTTCTTTTCCTTTGGCAGTTGCAAAAAAAATGCCAGCGACAAATATTATAAGTGTTTAAGGCATCATTCTTAGATTTATTTGAAAATAATACTTCAATTCTTATACCTTAACATTTAAATCTTAAAAAGGCAGTATAAAAATCACATATACCATATTGTTTTATTACCATAGTCTGTGGGTAAAATTTTTCTATGTATTTAAAGACTTATTTATTCATTTATTTATTTAAAGGACAGAGTGATAGTGGGAGGGAGTGTTAAGACATGGAGAGAGAGAGAGACAGACAGACAGACAAGGGCCAGGCTAAAGTCAGGAGCTTGGAACTCCATCTGAGTTTTCCACATAGGTGGCAGGGGCTCAAGTACTTGGGCCATCATATGCTGCCTTCCCAAGCACAGTATCAGGAAGCTAATACAATACAAAGGTTGGACACAATCTTTTCTATTTTTATCTTATTCAATTTCCCTTTGTAATTTGTATTTTTTGTTTTAATTTCAAAAATGTTTATTTTTGTTCTTGATTATCTTTCTCATGATTAATGAAACCTGATTTGTTCAAAGTCCACTAGTTCAGAATGTGTGATAACATAAAGTGGCTGTTATAAAGACTCCAGTATTAATAAAATTGTTATTTTTAAGCAAATTAACTGTATAACCAAGACACGCGCGCGCGCGCGTGTGTGTGTGTGTTAATGTTTGTATGAGTATAGGGTCATTAAAATATTTGGAGGGTATTTGGGTACCTAACATTCCTTTAGTAATATCCATAACATAAATAACCAGTATGTTAATTACTGGTCTTTATTCCCTAAGGTAGGTTCCTTAGGACCTATTCATGACAATATTATCAGATATTCATCTAGATATTATATCTAAGTAACTATAGGTAGACATGGTATCTGAATGGATATGCCTTAATTCTTTCATTTAATTTTTTTAATTGAGCATCTACTCTGCACCACTCCCCAAAATATCTGCAACAGTCACACTGGGCCTGGCTGAAGTCAGGGGCTGGGAACTCAATCTGGATCTTCCACATAGGTGCCAGAGAGGCAAGTACTTGAGCCATTATTAGCTGCCTACCAGAGTGTGCATTAGCAGGATGCTGAAATCAGAAGTGCAGTATACAGTAATTGAAATAGGCACTGTGATGTGGTACATGAGTGTCCCAAGTAGTGATTTAACTGCTACACCAAATACCCACCCCATCAAAATGAAGTTTTACTGCATTTTGCTTTTATATATTTGAGCTACTGATATCCTCATCTCATATGTTTCTCCTCTCTGTTCCTATCATACAATCAATATCTTAATTCTCTGATGGAGCATTAATGCATAAAATTCTGTTTTTTTCCAGCATTTTCTGTAAACAACGTTTAGACTATAAGGGAAAAA